TGGCACACTAGGACACAATAAATGTTTCCCCCCTCAGATCCACGTGCCAGGAAAAATATGCCATCCTTGTCTGAGCCTGGTTTATTTTGCTTAAGATGATCTCCAGTTTTGTCCATTTTCCTGCAGATGACATAATTTTGTTCTTCTCTATGACTGAGTAATACTTCACTGTGTCCATGCACCACTTTTTCTTTATCTGTTGATAGACGCCTGGGCTGGCCCACATCTTCGTTATTGTGAATTGTGTTGCAGTAAGCATGGGTATACAGGTACGCTCTAGGGTGCTGGCTTTAATCCCTTCTGGTCTCTACCAAGGAAGGGGTAGAGCTGAGCCTCAAGGTAGCTCTATTTTTAGTGTTTTGAGGAACCTCCACACTGATTTCTGTAACGTAGTGGCTGTGCTAATTTACAGTCCCACCAGCAGTGTGGAAAGGTTCTTCCTCCCACCGGCATTTATTGTTTTTTGTATTCTTGATGACAGCCATTTTCCTACAGGCTGAAGATGCTGAACTTTTTTTGTGTACTTATTGGCTGTGTGTACTTCTTTTGAGATGTGTGTGTTCAATTCATTTGCCTGTTTATTGATTGGGCTATTTTGCGGGGAGCTCCTTAAGTTTTTTTTTTTAATATTTACATATTCCTGAGGTTAACATTCTGTCAGAATAGTATCTGGCAAAAATTTTCTTCTCTTCTGTAGGTTGTCTCTTCACTCTGTTGATTGCTTTGCTGTGCATAAACTTTTCAACTTCTTGTAGTCTCTTCTTTTGATTTTCTTTTTTATGCTGCTAGGATTGAATCCACGGTGAGTTGTGTTTCTTTTTAATCTTTAAATTTTGAGACAGTTTTGCTAAATCATTAAATTGCCCAGGCTGGGTTGAACCTGTGATCCTCCTGCCTCGGCTTTCCAAGATGCTGGGATTGTAGGCATGCACGACAGGTGCCTGGCCCACTTGTTGATTCTTGCAGTTATTTCCTGTGCTACTGGAGTAGTATTTCCAGTATTTCCTGTCCTAGTCAAGAAGTGTTTGCCTGTGCCTATTACTTCAAGTATTTCCCCTGTTTCCTTCTAGTGGTTTCAAAATTTCAGGTTTTACACCTAAGTCTTTGATCCATTTTGTACAGGGTAAGAGATAGGAACCTAGTTTCAGCCTTCTACATTTGGGTATCTAATTTTCTCAGCACCATTTCTTGAGGAGGTCGTCTTTTCTCCCATGTATGTTTTTGGCCCATTTGTCAAGAATCAGATGGTGTACTTGTATGGGTTTGTTTCTGTGGCTTCTATTCTGTTCCACTGGTCTGTGTCTATTTCTAAACAGTACCATGCTGTTTCTGTCATTGTGACTTTGTAGTTGGTTATTGTGACACCTCCGGCCTTATTCTTTTTCTTAGGATTTCTTTGGCTAGCCTTCACCTTTTGTTTTTCTTTCTTTCTTTCTTTCTTTCTTTCTTTCTTTCTTTCTTTCTTTCT